GTGTGCGATAGACTTACCTCCACGTGGTGCACCCTGGGCAACGTATATTCATACGGCAAAAAAGTCTATTAACTGGCAGTTGACTTCTGACTTCAAACTACCCTCACCCAATTGTATGTCATATTCGACCACTTTCACAGTACTCATCTTACCCTTTCTCTGTCTCCTTTACATCTTTGAAACTCAATTCTGTTCCCCCTCTCCCTCTCGACTTGTTTCACTTTGATGTTCCTCCTCCCCTGTGAAGCCTGAAGTCAATTAAAGAGCTAATGATAAATTTCACAACGCCTGCCATTTGATATAAATAAATAAATGTTCCTTGAATTAGCAATTGTAGAGAGTGGTGTTAACGTCCATTCTTCTAGCTTAATTGTTAGTGCCCATTTCTTTGGAATTAATATATATTTTTTGTGGAAATCTCGTGAGGAAAATATTACACTCATGGATGCGCGAAAATGGAATGCAGCAACTATGAGTCAGCAAACTTTGTCTGCTAATATAAGCAGAATAAATTTTCAGAATTCTCTCTACGGTTTACGGTTAATTCGAAATATATTTTTTGTGTGATTTCCTAAAATATAGTGTGCTTTATCGATAACGCTTTTTGCTTCTTTTTCGTGTCCATGATGAATCTACTTCTTAGCTCAAATCTTTCGTTATCATTAGAGGAATTAGTCATTTTTATTGCCTACGGTCTCTGTTTCCGTTTTTAAGATTGTTAGGGTTCTCTAAAACTCACTTTTGATGCGTTTCGACCAATATTCATGTTATTTCTGGCTTCTTTGTCTGACCAAATAACCTCACTATTACCTTGGGTAATTTAGAGCGATATTTCTTAAGTGGTGGCGGCGTTACGTTTCCCAGTATCGTCATGGAAATGACGGTAGGATTAACATTCTACTCAAGACTATTCATTTAAATGGTTAGAACAAAATAAAACTGTACGATCAATGTAGGCTAATTGGCACATTTACTGTAAAATATCTACAATATAAATCTATAAAAGTATACAAGAACAGTTAAGTTAGGCTAAGTTTCACAGCATTTTCGAAGCCCTGGATCCACTTTTGTCGGGTTTTTTCATCTACACGGGGTTTGAATGTATTTGCCTCTATCTCCTCGTCGGTCGTGTACTTTCGAAGTTCAATCAATTTGGAGGGATCAATACCCACAGAAATCGCCGATGCAATGGCAGCACCAAGAGCTGTAATCACCTCCGAATTATTCGGTCGATAGACTGTAGCCCCTGTGATATCCGCCAGACTTTGCATCAGAACAGTGCTCTTTGACAGTCCACCGTCAACCGATATCTGCGTCGGAGGCGCCCGTTTCTCACCATCGTTATGTTCACAAGCCGCTTGCAAAACTGCTTGAGTTTGGTAGGCAGAGGAGCGATATCCAGCGGCTATTACATCTCCCCTGTTGCAGTCTTCATCAAAACCGACAAGCACGCTTTTTGCATCATCTCTCCAATAGGGACACAGGAGGCCGAAGAATGCCGGGACGAGATAACAGGCATCTTCGCGACCAGCCCGCCTTCTAAGGGCCTCCTCAGCCAACTTGCCCCCTGATGCATGATCATGAAACAATCCCAACTTGTCTTGAATCCAATCCATTGTAGCACCGGAAGAGGCTATTGATCCCTAGCAAACGCAGAATTGACACGAAGTTGAAACAGGACTCACCTCCAGAGCATAATGAGTATTTGCTTCAGGCCCCATTTTATGAGCGATAGTTGTGAGAAGACCGTGAGTACTAAACTGAGGTGATTCACCAATATCCCAGAGAATAAAAGCACCCGTGCCCAACGTTACCTTGACCTTTGACGTTTGGTGTTCTGGATTGGACGCCCATGTCTGGCCAACAAGAGCGGCTTGCTGATCACCAAGTACACCACCCAATCGCGTACCATAGAGGCGACAGTTTCTATCATTAATTTTGCCATACACCTCGGCTGATGTTATAACATTGGGGAGAATATAGTCGCTAAATCCATAGGCTCTAAAAGGAAAGTTAGAATAGAATAGGGACTGAAATTGACAAATTACTTGCAAAGATCTTGGTCAAATTGGAAAGAGTTGATATTGAAGAGGTTTGTTCTACTGGCATTTGTGTAATCAGTGAGATGCCCACCACCAGTTAATTTGTAAATAAGCCATGAATCAACAGTGCCGACCATGAGTTTTTCACGAGTGTATGTTCCCATAACCTCGCCGTGATTATGAAGCATCCAGTGGATTTTCATGGCTGAGAAGTAACTATCAATTGGGAGACCAGTAGATTTCTGCAAAAAGTGAGAAGAAGAAGAATAGGTCAAAAGATAAAATGGACAACTTACTTGAAAAACAAATCTGTCATCGTTATACTTCTTAATTAAATCTTGAATATACTCCGAGGTGCGAGTATCGGACCATACGATAGCTGGACAAACTGGTTTGCCAGTTTTGCTATTCCAAGCTATCGTTGTTTCACGTTGATTAGTAATAGCAATTGCCGAAATTCTCTATGGAAGAACCGTTAGAAAATAAATCATATTTACTTCAGGGGATATCCAACGTGCTTTGAGGGTATCGACAGCATCATTCATGCATGTAATAACACTTTTATAAATTTGACTGGCCGATTGTTGAACCCATCCTAAGCGAGGATGTTCCCGAGCGATTGGAACCTGATGCATGCATACCAATTTACCAGTTGCTGCATTGAAAACAATAAACCGTGTACTACTAGTTCCCTGATCAATAACTCCGATTAGATCCTTTTCCTTTGGTTCAGATGTTAGGAAAAAGAAATTTCTGCGGAATGATCGAAATGCCTACGTAATATTAAAATATAGTTTCAGGTTTATGGTAAACACGGTAAATGCAATATTTTATTAAGAATGAAATATAACAACACCTCAGTAATCCTGATGCATATAATTAAAATGTAAAGTACATTAAATTAGCATCCCAACAAAGTTGAACACTAACCCAATTGGAGCAAGACCGCACACCACCAGACAGAATCATCCGTAAGTGGAACCGATGCCAAGGTTATAAGAATTTTAGTTGTTTTATTAAAATTACATTTTGATTAGTATTTTGAATTGCAGAATTTTGCTCCTTTAATAAAAATCAAGGCGATTTTTAACTATGATTTTTATTTTATGTATGACTTAGCTTTGATTTGACGATGATAATTAAAGGTTTGGTTGATGTATCGTTTTCAATATTGTGATAGGGAGAAGTAAAAAATTATGCTGGTCGTGATATGGTTAAAAAATATTGCTTGTAATATTTAAAATAGTGCAAGTTTTTTCTGAATTAGGTGCGATAATGTGTTTAATCCGTAAGCTACGAATTATTAAGTTTTTCTTACTACGCCGTATTGTTCTGACTGTCACTTTTAGAATACTGACGAATTCAGCATTTGTTCTTATTAGAAATTTCCTGAAATACTTGAATAAAAGTCTTATAATTTGCAAAACACAGCCCACCAAGATTATAATTCATTCGCAAATATTAATATCTCTTACAAATCCCTCTTTTTAATTTATCATTCCAATCTAATCATTATATAAGTCCATTGGCAGAAGTTAAGTAATTATTTTTTAGATAAAATACAATTAAGTCTAAATTGAATTTATGTAATTGTATTGTGTAGGGATGACGAAACGGAAGGGGAAATTTTTATTCGATTGTGAACTATAATTATAAGAAAATGATCTGAGATTTAATGAGTTTCTGTAAAGTTTCATTGCCAATTTACGTTGAAATATATATATATATATATAATTTTTATGAACAAAGTGTGAATCGAGTTTCTTTTTAAAAGGGCAGCGATCTATGGTTTCTTTATTTCAATTTCAATTTTTACATTTATATTGAATGAATATGTCAGAAATCTTCTACTTCTAAAAATTTCGATTATCAATTTAGAGTTTTGAAACATAATTATCTTTCTCTTAGTAGTTTTACTTCCAAACACAGAAAAATCTCATATTCATTTACTCCTTAAACGATTGCTGCACAATCGTCAAAAATATGCTCTTAAGAATGGCATTTTCTTTAGTGAAGCGTTTTCTTCCCCATGGGCTTCTCAAAGTTGGATGTAAATAAATGCTTTATTAATAACACATCCGTTTCGATTTTTCGTACATTTTATTTAACACAAAACAATTATTCTTTGGGGGCTGATAGTGTTATATATATTGCAGATTATTTAAATAATGCATGAATTAGCGGATTCAATTTATACTTATTAAATGACTAGTAATTAATAAAGTTAGAATAAATCAAAAATTATTTATAACTTTAAATTTTGTTATTTTATATTAACTTATTGTTACATGTGATTGTTTGTATGTTCAATAAGGTCGTATTGTAAATTGGCCTTGTTAATTTTGTCGAATATAAAGTGTTCCGGTGATTTGCTAGATTAATTTTATCTGGTAGGTCGATGATTACTAAATATTCAGTTTGAACATATTTTATTATTCCTTGTAATATTTTATAAGCCATATAATTTATAGTTATTTTGACAAAATTATTATCTTAGTTACTACATTATTTTTAGCCACCACTTTATCCACTATGTCCAATAGTAGCTACAAAAAAATGATAGGTGTTATCGATCAGGGAACTAGCAGTTCTCGTTTTGTTGTCTTTTCCACCGTTACTGGTGAGGTTGTCGCCAAACATCAAATTGAAATTGACCGAGACCACCCTGAATCAGGTTGGGTTCAGCAATCTGCCAACGATATCTACCAAAGCACACTTAACTGTATTAACATGGTTGCCAAAAATTTTAAATCTCGTAATGTCCCTTTTAGGGTAAGTCAAAAGATATAATTTTCATACTCTTTTGTACCCAGAATATTCGCGCAATCGGTATAACGAATCAAAGAGAAACTACGATTGCATGGGATCGCAATACTGGTGAACCGCTCTGTCCAGCCATCGTTTGGTCGGATGCTCGAACTTCTGATCTTGTCCATAAATATATCGATCTCACACCTAACAAAGACAAGAACACGTTCCAAAAAAAGACCGGTCTTGCCATACATAGCTACTTTTCCGCTTTGAAAATCCGTTGGATGCTTGACAATAATAAAGCTGTAAGAAAGGCGAATGAAAATGGAACATTAATGGTTGGAACGGTTGATTCGTGGCTGATTTACAAGTTAACAGGCGGTAAGAATGGAGGCAAACATGTCACCGATGTTACCAATGCTAGTCGGACGAATCTCTTCAACATTCACAAGCGTAGATGGGATTTAGAAATTTGCGAGTAAGTTAATTTTTATAATTTAAAATGGCTTTTTGTCATCTTTTAATTATCCCTTTTTACCTAGTTTCTTTGGAATTGATCCTCAAATCTTGCCAAAGGTTATCACCTCTGCACAAAAATACAGCCACATTAATGACGAAGACTGTCTCTTAAATGGCATTGCTCTAGGTGGTATTCTAGGTGATCAGCAGGCAGCTTTGGTCGGTCAAACCTGGGATCCTAACCCTGATCCAAGCTCACCTCGACCTCACGTAAAGGTCACTTATGGTACGGGTGCATTTCTTCTATGGGATATTGGTGAGCAACCTTCCTTCTCCAATTACGGACTTTTGACCACCATTGCGTATCAAATGGGCCACGACGCGCCGATACACTATGCTTTGGAGGTAACGATAACTTCTAAAATATTGATTTTTTCTTCATCATGGAGGCAGAGTTAACTATCGCCTTCTGTCCATAGGGAGCGATTGCCTATTCCGGAGCAACGATGGATTGGCTTCGTTATAAACTGGAGCTCTATAAGGATCACGCCGTGGGAGATGAGATGGCTCGAAAGGCTCTATTGAAGCAACATGGTGAAATAAAACCCAAAAAACCGGGTGAACTTGTGACTCTATCAACTTTGGACGCGTGTTACTTAGTGCCAGCCTTCTCTGGTCTCTTCTGCCCTTACTGGCGTGAGGATGCGAGAGGTGTCATCGCTGGTTTCGACGAGAGCTGTACCAGTGGTGATATAGTTGCTGCCGGTTATCGATCATCGGCCTACCAAACTCAGGATGTCCTTCAAATCGCCCTTGAATCCGATAGTGGTGAGAAACGACGACCACCTCGAGTGATATCTGTGGATGGTGGATTAACGAAGAGTCCCATTCTCATGCAAAGTCTTGCTGATATCACCGGTTCAACAATTATTAGGCCAAATAACTCCGATGTGATGACAGCACTTGGAGCTGCTATTGCGGCAGCAATTTCAGTTGGAATTGATCCCACGGGTCTTCTCTCGATCCGAAAACACGAGGGGGAGAATGATGCAAAAAATACCTATAGGCCCATGATTTGTCCTAACACGAGAAACTTGTGGATGAAGGGCTACAAGAATGCAGTGAATCGATCGTTCGGTTGGAAAACAGATGCTGAGGAGAATGGACATGCATAGAGGGGGAGGGGATGCTAGCTTGCCTCATTTTTTTCCACTATTTTTTTAGACATTTTCTCACTTCTTCTTTTTTATTTCTTCTTATTTGTAATACTCTTCAATTGAAGAATTTTTTGTATAGTAGTCGAGACTTCTTTTTTGGGTAAACGTATTAGTTTTGTAGAAAAAAAAATGCTAATCAAATGCATATTTGGCAAGAGTGAGTACTGACTTGAAAGGCATTTCGCCAATTTCAACCAGTCAATTACTACATTACATACAGCAGTTATTCACATCATCATATGAAGTTAATGCAATTTGATCACACTGCTTGCGTAATCAAAGGAGCAAGGCATGAACCTTTGTCTGACCATCATGATGTAGTCTAGTATTGAGGTAAATATTTTATTTCTTTATGTCAAATGCCAGGCGTTGTGAAAGTTATCATTAGCCCTTTAGTTGACTTCAGACTTAGCAGAGGTGAGGAACATCAAAGTGAAAGAAAGTCGAGAGGGAGGGGGGGGGGGGGGGGGGGGGGGGGGGGGGGACAGGAGAGTGGTTCATAGATGTAAAAGAGACAGACAGACACAAAGGTAGAGGAAAAGGTAGGATGAGTACTGTGAAGTGGTGGAATATGACATACAGTGGGGTCATTATAGTTTGAAGTCAGAAGTCAACTGCCCATTTATAGACTTTTAAGCCGTTTGAGTATACTTTGCTCAAGTCTATCGCGTGATTTGGCTGGTAAAAAATACGGGTTTGTTTTCTCCCTAAATCTGAGCCAAATCTGAATCTGCTTGGTGGAAAAATACTTCTATTTCCAGCTGTATATGATTGGAAACTTTCAGGCGAAATTTCCCAGGACATCTTAAAAGTAATTCAGTGCTATTTCTAGTGAGTGATTTGGACTTTATTATGACTCAAAGCATAGCGAAATATATTTATTTTCTTGCAAAAAAGACGTTATTTTTTCCCTTTTCGCCAAGTTATGATGTTAACAGTGCCTTCAGTATTATCTTCTGGTTCTGAATTATGCAGAAAACTACAACACAGTCTTTAGTGAACTCCGTTAAGATACGATAGTGTTAGCTAGATAGGCAAAATGCAAATTTCAGTAATATAGTTTTGAGGAAGCAAGTTGAACCACCATCTAATCTTTCAAATTATTATAATTTAGGAGCATGCTTCCTAAGAGGAATTCAGATGAATTAGCTAGATTAAAGATTGTTGGATGATGGGGTGGGGTGGGGTGAGGGTGTAATTGAATGACCCCATCAAATACCGTGATGGAAAGACATGTGGCGGAGCCCTTGTGACTAAATTAAATATCAATACTTGACCTAGACTGAGATCAGTCAATTTTTTCTCCAAATTGGGTCGATTGACAAGACTAGAAGTCGCCTTTCCTTTAGAGATAAAATCCTCCTATCACCTGAATCTATCACGCGGAGCAGAAAAACAGCACACCAAAATGTAAGGTCTGTGAGTTCGTCTACACCCCCCTCCCCCCACCGCACCACACCCCATCTACACTAATTAGAAATTATACTTTTGGTATTAAATTGCGTAAAACACCATTCGATTAACTCTATCTCAACTGAAAAATTTAGTTTGATCTGCAATTAGTTTATATTAATTTGCTGCAGTCTGATCAACCTCCAAAATATAGTCAGAATTCGAGAACTCAATAACAGCACTCAAGTGCCCTATAGGAAGGCTTTGCTCAAAAATTATGCGAGGCAACGAGGCTGTAATTTTTCACCTTAAAACAATATGCAAAGTTGCCAAATTTTTTTAATAATAATTCTTTTGACAAATTGATTCACTAATTGTGAACGTTGGCAAAAAAACACAATAGCCTAAATGAAGACATGCCTGATGCGAGTAGTCACTGTGTCTCCGAGATACGAATACGATAATAATATTCGGTCCTCTCGTGATATTCTCTCATCTAGGGTGTGGTTGGAGATCACATTTCTGGAAGAAGAAACAAAAATTCCCCCCTTCCAAAAATGGGCGTGGGTCATCGTATCAACGACACACTAATGAGTTGTCATTGTTGCTGCTTGGCTCACGACTACTCACACCTATTCCAACGCCTGATTACTGTAACTCTGAGTTGTCGGTATACAATCATTCAAGGTGTATGGTGTGGGGAGGGGGTGGGGTGGGGGATGGGGGTGGGGGCGGGGGGGTTCATAGAAAAAAGGAGAAAAATATATCGACTTTTATTAAGCCAATACTGGTCACACCCTTCCAATTAACGGATCGCATTTTTTTCACCACTGGAGTACTTAACGCGGTTTTAGACAAGAAATTTATTTTTTTTTTGGAAATTTTTTTTTCGCATGTCGTAGCACATGATAGTGAGTAAGGAATTGAGTGAGCCCACTCTTGGCCTTATTTCTTATTGGTAGTCATGCACAAAATAGGATTCTACCCACAGGGCACCGTGGTCTGTGCACGAAGGAGATGACAAAATTTAGACAGTATGCAGGGCCGACCCAAATGCAGCAAAATAATGAAGAAAAGGGAGGGAAGAAAATTAGCTTGTCGAAGACAATTAAAGAAAAATGGTTAAAATTGATGAAATTCGAGCTATGCTTCTTAATGGGACACTGTACCGTTTGTACAAGTGAATTTGAAGAACATTTATATAACCAAATAATAATTATAATTGTAATGGTAATAGTAAAAATAAAAAAAAACAAGCCCATCCGTGTAGGGTTGAAATTTGAGGGGAGAGCCAAGTGGGTGTGCGATAGACTTACCTCCACGTGGTGCACCCTGGAAATATGCCTTCACTATCAACATCTTATTTGGAAGCGGAGGGGTGTGTGCGATAGACTTACCTCCACGTGGTGCACCCTGGACAGCGTGCGATAGACTTACCTCCACGTGGTGCACCCTGGGCAACTTTCAACCCTTGCTGGTTTTCTAAACAATTATTCTTAAGAATACGATAGACTTACCTCCACGTGGTGCACCCTGGACAACGTACGATAGACTTACCTCCACGTGGTGCATCCTGGGCAACGTATGCTCATACTGTAAAAAGTCTAGTAACCGGCAGTTGGCTTCTCCCTTCAAACTATCACCACCTCACTTTATGTCATATTCCTCTACTTCCACAGTACTCACCTCAACTTTTATCTAATTTTGTGTCTGCCTCTTTTACATCTTTGAATCACTCTTCTTTTTCCCTATAATTTTTCTCACTTTAATGTTGCTCCATTCTGTGAAGCCCGAAGTCAGCTAAAGGGCCAATGATAAC